TCTCGTGGTTCCTGTCCGCAAGTAGAGCAGAGGTTAGAATCCAGGACAGGAGATATCTTGACGCAGCACAGGGAGCAGTCAAGACTGCAGCTTCTTCAGGGACCCTAGAGATGTGCCGGGAGGCAGGCCCTCTTCTCTGATGTCCTTCCTAACCATGAATCCACGGAATCTCCGGTGTGACCCTGCAAGAGAGGCCTATAATGTTATCCCAATTTGTAAATGGGGAAACTGAGGCCAAAATGGGAAAAATGAGCTGTGAATAATTAACTAGCTTCCTTCCCCTAAAGTCCCAGCCTCAGGATCAGAGACCCCAAGCTGTGAGTCTCAAAGGGGGAGAAGGTGGGCTTCCAGGCAGGCCCAGTTAGGTCAGACAGGATCAAGAGAAGAAAGTTCCCCTCTCCCCCAGCCCTAGGCTCCAGTTGCCATAACAACACGGCCTCCATTTCAGGCTTTTGCTGGAAATTTGCATTTTAATGGAGATGTAATTAGAATTAAAAAACTGATTCTGGAAGGGACAGAACCTTCCACACCCCCTGGGGAGCCCACTCCCCACTCATGCCCTCCTGAAGCCCACCCTGATGCTTGCTCTACTGACACACTCCTGGGTCTGCTAGTGTCTGTCCCCACTGCCCAGATGGGCCCTGGGGCCCAGTGTCACTGCGAGGGACCCTGCTGAAGGTGCTCCCCATCTGATAACCCCTACTGACTGGCTGAGGGCCCCCCCAGTCCTCCTCCAAGGCCAACCTCTCAACAGCTCAGTAGCCAGGAGTCCGCAAGGCTGGGACCTCCCGTCTAAGCCCATGGAAACGAGGCCACAGCAGCAAGGACCGTGCCAAGGTCTCATGGCAAGGCGGGCGAGAGCTGTGCCGGTGGCCGTCAGGGTGCAGCCATTAAAGGGGCCCTCCTGGGGCCTCCCTGGTGGCGCAGTGGGTTAGGACGCTGCACCGCATGCTACACGCAGCCACGGCAGCACAAGTTCAATCCCCGGCCCCGGAGATGACCCACATGGTGCAGCAGACCCCTCCTGTCTCCCCGCTGCTCCCTCAGCAGTGTACTTCGTCCATCTGCCTGTTCTGCTCCCCCACTGTCTCTGGTGAATCCTCCCAGCCCCCTGCATTTCTGGCCTGTACCCCAGTTCTTTGTGCATAAATAAATCTTAAAAAAAAAAAAAAGACGCTCCTTTTGACCCCCACTCTAGCATCACTATCTGAGCCCAGATCTCCATGGAGAATGCCCAGCAGCTTCTCCGGTGTCTTATTAAGTTCTCAATATCAGCCACGCCAACAATTTCATCTTTTCACATCCTTGAGAAGAACCCAAACGGTGTCCAGACCCTCTTGATGGATCTGGAGCTGCCCTTAAAGTGCTGACCACAGGAGCCCAGGGGCCCGGCGGTCACTACACACACAGGCCCTGGACACAGGTCCCAAGGGCGCTGTGCTGGCCCACATGGCAACCATTCATTTGCAAAGCCGTAATGCCTACGCTTTGCCCCCGATCCCCTCAGCATTCCTGTGACGTAGGGACTGTTGTTATATTCACGACACAGAGAGGTTACCTGACTCACCCAAGGTCACTCAGCTAGTGAGTGGAAGAGCCAGAATTTAAACCTGCACCACCTGACCCCAGAACACAGCTTCCCTACAGACCTCAGGACCCCAGAGCCAGGCACCCTGGCCCCTGCCACCCCCTGCCCTAGACTTTCTCAAAGCCCAATTCATAGAAGAGGAAACAGGCCCAGGGAGGCAGGTGGCTTGCTTGTGGGCCCACACGACATGAGCCGCTGTCCAAGCCAGAGCACCTGTGTCAGCCCCCTCCCTGGCCATGAATGTCTCCCAGTGGGCCCACCCAGGGGCCGACTCAGAGACACTGAGGAGTGAGTGCCTGCCCCTGCATGGTCAGGGGAAATGGAGCTTGAGCCCCGGGATGGGACACACAGCACCACCTCCTAGCAAAGACAAGACCGAGGCCGAGCCCAGGAGCCCCTGGGAGGGGAGGAGGAGACCAGACCTGAGGCTCGCTCCCCGGCAATTTAGAACCCGACAGCGCAGAAATGGATTTTCTCTTGAGCTCGCCTGTAAGCGCACTTCAAAGACACTGATGGCAGTAGTCGGAGGGGGATGAGCAATAACCAGGGCGAGGTGGCCCCGGGAAGGGAGCGGCGCAGACACACAGAGACTCACAATCACGGTAGGAAAAGGCAATTGGAAATTCCATTTGGGTTTTCAATTTGAAGGTGGCGAGAGGCCAGGAGCTGGGCTGTGGAGAGCCGGGAAGAGAGTGACTGAAGAAGAGACAGAGAGGGCAGAGACAACACATCAGAGACACGATGAGTCAGAGAGACATGGAGCAGGAAGAAGGATGGACAGAGAAAAGCAAAAGCAAATGCCAAGTTCCCGGGTGCACCCCAACATGCCAGGCAAAAAAACTGCACACACACTCTCGGCCTCACACACGCATGCTCACACCCCTGTGCCTGGCTCTGGTCCTCACTCTGGTTTGAAATGCTGTGAGATTTCATAGGAGACACCGCCTTCCTGGGAGCCTGGGTCCCCTGAGGCCGGGAGAGGTGAGCTGGTTCCAGGAATGGGGTACAGGGGTGACGGAGCAGGAAGACAGCCTCCTCACTCTGACATGTCTTCTTGTGGCCGAGGATCTCAGCCAAGCAGGCACTGGAGGTGCCCAGGGAAGGGCCAGGGCCTAAGCCACCTGCAGACTAGGAAACCAGCCAAACCCCCCTCCCCCAGGAGAGCAGAAGGAGCTGTCTTCCAGGCATTGTCCCATCAGGGGTCCAGGAGAGGCAGGGTACCCCCGTCCCCGGGCTGACGCCTCACCCATTTATAAGGGGGCTATTACATAAGCCCCCCTTTTTTTAAGATTTATTTATGCATACAGAATTGGGGTGCAGGACAGAGGTGCAGGGGGTGAGAGGGTACCCCACCTCTGGTCTGTAGAGTGGGGAGCATAACAGACAGGTGAGACAGGAGGTCTGCTGCACCGTGTGGGTCAGCTCCAGGGCGGGGGACGGAACTCGCACTGAAGTGGCTGCGGCTAGTGTGCAGTGCTGGGCTTTGACATCCCGTGCCACCCCAATATGCCAGGCAAAAAGACTTCACATTAATATAAGCCCCGCTTAATAGATGAGGAAACTGAGGCTCTCTCTGTTTAGAGCTTGCCTAGGGCCACACTGCCCCCTGCAGCCTCAGGGACAGCGAGGGCCCAGCTGCCACTTGCACACCTGTGGGCCAGGAGGCTTCATCTGGCCTCAGCTTCCCCAGTCGCTCCTCCAGGTCAGGCCCAGGCAGGTGCCGTCAGGCCGTGGGGGCAGGGACAGCAGGAAGCCAGGGACACACGGTGCTGCCTGCCAAGAGCCAGGTAAGGCCAGAGGGCCTTACCCGCCTCTGCGTCCTGGACACCCCACCGGACCGGCGGCGCCCACTGCAGAAGCACCAGGTGCGAAAACTGTCCTGTGGCGCCACCTGGTGGCCGAAGGGCTCCCAGGCCAGCCAGAGTCCCGCTGAGCGGGGCCGCCTGCAGTCTGGACACCGGGACCGACACCCGCCCGGGGGCCGGGTGCAGACCAGCCCCGACGCCAAGCGGCCTCCTAGAGCTAGGTCCGTGGCCCTCCTGAAGGGTACACCGGCACACCCTCCGTCCTCCTGGACGCTGTACCCCACTGGCCGCATACAACCAGGTAAGCGCTGTTTCAGGCGCTGAAAATAAAACGGTCATCAAGGCAGACCCCTTCCCTGTGGAGGGGACGGTGGGGCGTGGGGGCCGGAGTGGGGGGGAGAAGCAACGCACATAATGAAGAAAACAACCTACCTTGGAAGCAGGGAAAACTAGGGTGTCGAGTCTGACGCCTAAGAAACCACGCGGCCCTCGGCTCCTCAGGGCCACTCCTGTCCCGGGGACACACACTCACCTTCTGCCGAGGACATTCCCTCCCACCCTCGGCTCCCCCTCCGGACCCCCACCACTCGTGGTCAGCCGCAGTCAGTGTCCCAGCAAGAAAGGTTCGGACCAGGTCTTGATGCCCAGCTCCGACACCATAGGTGTGACGGGACAGGTTCCTCAGCCTCTCCTGCTTGCTCCCCTGTAAAACGGGGGTGGGGGAGGAAATGAGCTGGCAAGTGGCACCTTAATGTAGAGTTAAGCATACTATCATGAGAAGGTGGGTGTTTCTCTCCCTCCTGGGCCAGCTGGTGGAGGGTAGGCATGAGGAGGCTAGACGTGAGTCTTCTCCAAGCCCCTCACCTGCGGCCCAAGTACACAGGGCCGCCAGGACAGACGTGCCTGCGCAGTGGGCTGGTGGGTCCCGCTCCAGCTCCACTCCCTGGGACGGCGGCAGCCAGGTGTGGGACCGGGAGCCTCAGGTGCACACCCAGGTGTGGGGCCAGAGCCCAGGTGTGCAGGAGCCAGCCAGCTCCTCCCCACCGAGGCCCAGCTCCAGGCCAGACACTCGAAACTCTGGTCAAAGCACCTCTGGACTCTAAAACACGATCCCAAGGTGTGCCGTGTCAGAAAGGAAGGCGGAAAATAAATGGAAATAGTTAGATTTAAAAGAGCTGCGACAAACTCACTGCAGGCTAACTGACATTTTTTTTATGAAAATAGCTGTAGCTTCCGAAACAAACGAAATCCTGGGGAAACACTGCGGCGGTTTCGCATTTTTTGGACATGTCTTAAGTGTCTGACTTAGTGGAAGGCAGGCGGGTTCTCCAGCCACACTCGAACTACTTACGATGTGCTGCTTCGCGGCGTTTAAAAAATGGGGCCTTCAATTTCGTTTTTCGCGGTCCAAGCGACCACGACGCGGGCCCCGGAGGCCCCGCCCCGCCCGGAGGCCCCGCCCCGCCCGGAGGCCCCGCCCCGCCCGGAGGCACCGCCCCGCCCGGCCCGGCAGGCCCGAAGGACGGCTTCCGGGAGGGGGCGTGGCCTTGCCGCCGCAGGCAGCTGGGTCTGTGATTGGACCGCGAACGAGGCTGCGCCTGGGCCCCACCTGCCGCTCCCGCCCCGCCTCGCGGGGGAAAGCTGCAGCCCTCCACGCGGGCGTCCCTTCCGCTCGCCCACTCCGGAACCTTCTGTTCCGGCTCGGGTTTCCGCGGAGAGCGCTAGGCCAGCCAAAGCGGAAGTACCGTGCACGGGGGCGGGGCTAAGCGTGGCCATGTCGGCGGCCCTGCTGCGGCGGGGCCTGGAGCTGCTGGGGCCGCCGGAGGGTGAGGCGGGCTCCCCGGGGAC